GTCTATCTATCTATCTCTGTGTAAGTGCACTCTATGATGTTCACAAAACCAAGAAATCACCTAACAACGAACATATGTTCTGAGAACATATCCCTGTCATTAAGTGACTGTATGACTACTAGGACACAATGTAAAGTCTGTCCCACAAAACATCGTATTTTGTCAATCAACTGTCTTCATTGGCATTTGGATTTTATACTGCTCACTACACTTACCCTCTCAACTTTATTTACTTTGCTTCCTGTTGGTTGAAAGTGAGTTAATGTGTCAACTTAAAACATTTGTGGTGAATAATTCATATCATTCAATAAATATTATTAACTCTTAAATATAAAATCTTATCAGCCAGGGATGTAAAATGGAACTGTCAGTGGTGATATAGGTTCTTAATTATGCACTGGTTTTTAGCAAACGAAAGCATTAAGGGTAGGGGAGCATTACTTAACATTTTAACCTAAAAGAATGTATTTTGCAGACTTTCCTCTGGTTGTTTGTCAGTGCTGCAGGCATAAGTCATCAGTGATGCTAAGGACACTACTTTTTTACTGCATTTGTTCCTGAGTGAAAAATGACTTTTCATTTAAATGATGCTTTTGAGTTGGCAGCACGAAAGGGTTCAGATAATTTGTTGTTACTTACAGATTATGTTTCAGCTTTATTGTGACGTTGTTATAGATTTTCATCATTTTCATTTTTGTCTCTCCCCCCCCCCCTTTTTTCCAGTTCTTCCTCCAGTGCTGGTTCCAAGACACAGCGAGTATAATCCTCAGCACAGCCTCTTGGCTCAGTTCCGTAACTTAGGACAAAATGAGCCTCACATGCCACTCAACGCCACTTTCCCGGATTCCTTCCAGCAACCCAACAGCCACCCGTTTCCTCATTCTCCCAACAGCAGCTACCCAAATTCTCCTGGGAGCAGCAGCAGCACCTACCCTCACTCGCCCACCAGCTCAGACCCAGGAAGCCCTTTCCAGATGCCAGGTAGGTTGGAATGGTGGGTGCTGTTCTGTGGTCAGATCAGATGGTGGTGTCACAGTGTAAAGAAGAAGCTGGCATACCTGCAGTGGAGGGGGCTTTTCCTCTCTGGTCCATGGCAGTGCTCTTAGAACTCAGGATTCGACTGTGGCTGAAAGGAGACCTGTAGCCAAGTAATCAGCACATGCCTTGTTTTATTCCTCAGGCACAGATTCTGGAATAAGTTTTATTTTTTATTTTGATAGGTTTTAAAACAGCTGAATCCTTCTGGGAGTGGCATCATCGTTATAGGCTTTGCTCTTGATAAAAGAGAAAGGAAAACAATGTGTTGCACACATTGGCTTTAGGAGAAACACAGCCTCCATCAACATCATTTCATACGTGGAAAAAAACCCCTGCTATAAGTGCAACCTCAGAGAAGATATTTCCTGAGGGATCACAGCCCCCTACTTAATTAAATTCATTTAAGTGGTGATGTAATCCCAAGAAACATATACTTTAGCAACAAAGGAATTGCCACAGAAGTACTGGAAACCAGCTGCTTGTTTAACTTAGCAAAGACAAAAAACAGTTATCCTCCTTTTTTAGACTTAACTGATGGTGTAATGGTTATCAAAATAAGTGATTAATTAGTACAGTACATTTTTCAAGTTAATAGGTTAATAAGCAAGCATCTCAGAGAACAAAAATGATTAGTGCCAAATTTCTGGCCAGGAGACCTCAAGGAAGATACTGTAAACAAAGATATACCTGTCATCTATGAACATTTCAAGAAGGGAAAAATGAGTGGGCACGTATGTTTGTTGGACCACTTGAAGTGGTTTTTAAGTAAATTTGAATTCAACAACAGTGCTGGTATGTCCTCAAAAATTGAAAAGTGGTCCGCTTGATATTGCTATATTTTATGTATATATGTGTTGCTTCCTTTTATTTCAAACCTGTTTATTTTGCATTGTTTTGTTTGTTTTTCAGTCCAAAATTGTTCGGGATGAGGGTGGGAGATTGTGTAAAAATCAAACTAATATCATCTTGTGATTTTCTGTTCACCCCTGTCCACTCCCTCCCAGACCCGTTGGGTTTGATGACTAGGTAGTGAGGAAGGAGATAGCTTCAGGCTATTGAGCAGTGGCAACCCGAGGGTGGGCCCACGAGTGGAAAACTGGAAGATTATTGCTTAAGTTTACACTTTCCCCCTTTCGGTCAATGGATTAAGATACAGGCCAAGTGGAGGAAATACAGAGAAGAGAAAGTTGCCTGGGGTGGGAGGAGGTCCCTGTGGGAATGGTGGAACCACCAATAGTTATCTGGTCCCTCTCAGTGGTGCTGACGCCATAGATCGCCCGTGAAATTTTCACCAGCTTGTTTGCAGAAATGTGTGGCATTTGGTCTCAGAGGAGGCTCTTTGTCTTCATTCCTGGCTGGAAGTAAAGCCGAGTCAGTGTCCTGGCTGCAGGGAAGAACTCGAATTAAAAGAAGATGGAGAAAGGGTGAAAAGGCATCCAGATAAGGTCGGCACAGGCCTATCTTTGTGCTCTGAGCTCTCCCTTGTCAGCAGCTGGATGGTAGAAGGCACTGGGTTGTGATTCAGCTGCAGAGAACGTCTTGG